ACCAGTTCCCAGCAAATAGATCATTCTGTATATCCTAAAGTGACGTATCTTTCTTCACATGAAGCTACCTGTTAATGTATTTTAAGCGAATATATTTTGGATATAGTGAAAACTGCAGAGAGTCAAGGCTTTTCCCCATAAGTAATATGATATTTCATCTTTGCTTCTAAGTTTTCATTGTTTTGAAGTACAGTATGTGGACGATCAAGGAATCGCTTCTTAATAGCTTTGAGGAGGACTCAGAAGTAATAATCTTCAAGGGGAACAGTAAAGTGCAGTAAAACACAGCTGATAAAGCACATAAGATGCTGCTGAGTCCATTATAGTAAGCAGCTATACTGGATCATAATGACAATGAACATTTGAAAACTGTCTTTTAGTCTGTCAAATGAAATAAAATATAGCAACAACCTGATGATGTGGGAAAGCCCTTGGCAGTTAAATGACCCAAATTATATTTGAGTTTACTGAGATGATGAAATAAATGCACAGGACTCACAGCAGTAAGATACATACAACCAGAGACTCCACATCCACCAAAGCTCCACAGTTCTAGGCTACCAGGTTTAACTATCTTTACCTGATGCTCAGTTATTCAAAAGAAACATACAGTGACTGAACAGGGAGTCCAAAACTATCATTTTTTTATTATTTGACAACTCCCTAAATTTCTGAGGTTTACCAGTTAAAAGATAAGGTATCAAGTATTGTAGACTGAATAGCAGTTGTGTAAATTCAACATTTTAATACATAGCGATAGATGTATGAGCTGACAAAAACTCATGGGGAGTATAGGATAGTTGCATTTAACATAAATAGGAAGAAAATGATGATAAATTCTCAAAAATCTAATAAAAAAGGTTTCTCTGAAATAACTGGGAATAAATAAGGGCATTTAAACATTACCAAGTATCTTTCCATCTTTAATAGATTATAAATATGAGCTCTAATAGGAGATTCTGACATGGAATTGCAAATATACAATTTTCCTAATTCTATTGGAGCTAATCTTTCTTTTGTTAATTTGATAAGGATGAAGCGAAGCATTAGCAGACATCACATAAAGATTCTTACAGAATAAAACATTAGCATCATTTTTATCAATCTGCTTCCATTAGAAAAAAACATCCAATATTAGCATCTTGGGGGAGGGGGAGAGGGGAGGAGAAGGGGAAGGCAGGCAGCCTTCTCCTAGCAAGAAATCCCACGATTCCTTGCATAACAGCATTGTGAGCTGAAGGCAACTAAATGTATGTTTTGGGAAGGTAAAAGCAAAAGGAAGTCCATCGTTCCTGGAGGTTTATATTCAGGAACTGACTTAATGGGTGGAAACGATATTACTTTTTAACTGTGGGGAGGCAGCCAGAGAAATTTTTCAAGGAAAGAATGTAAAAAAACATTTCTAACTGGAAATAGTCTCTGTCTGACTCTTCCTGGAAGGACTCTACAAACTCAGATCAAAGTAATGCTCGAAGTAATGCCAAAGTCCAAGTTATGCTGTCTGGATTTTAAAAACAGACTTCCTAACTCCCAGTTATATAACACTGCATTTTTTCACTCATCCTAATTAAGAGCTGTAATTTATACCAGAAATCTGAGTCCTTCAACATCTTTATGTATTGCCTCAGGCTGACCTCCATGAAAACTGAAGGAATACAAAGTGGAAGAGGAAAACAAAATATCAACACCTTACAGCTGGAAGTGTTTCTCCGATGGTAAGGAAGGCTGTGCCCATTCTTAAAGTCGCAAACTTGGCACTGACTCTGGACACGCCACGTGACAGTCCCTAAAAATTGCTCTCCTTCGCTCCTCAGTCAGGACGGCTGCCCAGCCTGTCCTGACTGGGCACACAGGAACCAAAGTCCTGCCTCCATCTTTGCTCTCTCATGAGGATGCTGTTATTTTTCCACATGAGATGACTACCAAAGTGTACGTATCATCTGAGGCTGCCACAGAATCAGTCTCTTTCTGGTCAAGAGAAAAAAAATCCAACTTCTACTAATTTTAGGTACATGCAATCCTCTCATTTTTTTTCAGGCTTCCCAAAAGCAGAAGGGAAAGCAAATCAACAGCACGACTTAAGTCTACATCTGTTACTGAAGACTTGGATGGAGTATCAGATTCTGCTAAGAGGCAGATTTTAATGTTTTACATATGTCATACATGCTGTAGCTCTGTTGTAACTCTTGCTGTAGTAGTACTGGAGAATGTATAGTGACACGAATGAGCTATCCCTAAATACACTCCTCTTGAAATCACGTCCTCTATTCAGTTTGAATCCTCACAACTAAGTCATTGTTCCCAGTTCCTGCTTCTCTGGCAGCAGAGTCCTCCTGCACTCAGCGTTCCCCTGATCCCTGGATTCTGTGCTTTCCAACTTCTGAACCCCAGTTCCCATAAAAGATTTCCCATAATGATTTGAAAATCATTAGCCAATCTGTACAACACTGTCTCTTCGGAAACAACATCTGCCTTGATTACAGTAGCCTTCATCAATCCCTCTTTGTTCCCTCCCATCAATACATAAATAAAATACCTCTACTACCTGATCTACCAGAAAATATCTGCTACAATCATTGACTACTTTACCTAAGGATGTTTTATGCTCACCGTTTTGTCCCGCTACTCTGACCTGTTCCAGCAATGCTTTTAGATCCATGCATTTCATTGCACCAAGGGGCCCTCTCCAGGACCTCTCTTTACACTCAGTCCTGCTGCTCCCTGTGCTTTCCTCCTCTGCTCGCAACCCCCGGTGAACCTCCTCATCTGCCCTTCGTCGGGAATACTCGCTTTCCCTTTCGACTTCAACACCTGCTCGTCTCAGGACTCCCCTGACTTTGTTCTCTCTCCTCGGAGCTCCCACAAGGCTCACCTTGCCTCAGCCTGCTCGCCTGGGGTTAATCCGTCTTGCTGAACCTACGCTGAGCGTGCTCCAGGGTCAGACCCATTCCCACTTCCTCAGCACAGCACTACCATATGGACTGAGAGTGTTTTATTGAAAACTGCAGAAGAGGATGTGAAAAGCAGCCCTCACGGGGGGAGGAGCGGGAGGAAGGGAAGGAGGAGTGCATAGGAAGGGGAGAAAAAGAATAGTGCTTTAGATTATACGAGGGGTGGGAAGGGCATGGATCTGAACTAATTCTTGTTACAGATATAAAAAGAAATATGAGAGAGACAGGCACAAAAAGAAAACAGCTAAGAACAGGAAGAGAGATTCTTCTTTGGAGATGAAAAATGAGTATCTAAAATATCTTGCAATAAAAGAGTGAATGAATTATTTCACATTATCTACATGTGGCTCTGCTTTTGGGGTAGATTCTCATCTCACTCTACAAAGATGCACAAGGGTGAGGCCCTGAGCACAGAGAGGAGAATCCACTCCAAAATACGGCAAGACAAATGCTGGTGATCATGCAGTGCTAGGACACTTCAAACTGCATGCCTGCCCTGCACCTCACCAGCCATCAGCACAAGTGGGCTACCTGCTACCAAGGTTTAGGCCTGAGCAACATTAATACAGAGCAGGGCCTCCAGAGCAAGAGCAGGAGTGAATCCTGCAAGGCAGCAGGGCAAAATGCTACAGCCAAAGGCAACAAAACAACTCAATATGCATTTCTGTTCACCAGCAAACTTACTTGCAAGCAACACTAGGCACTGCTGCTCTCCCTGTGCCTGCACCATGCACAGTGGAGGCAGGCTTCCTTTCGGCAACATTTCCCTCTCACTAATACATGCTGTGGAGCCACAGGCAAGAGACTTTGCTGCTTTGTCCCACAAACCCGACACAGATGTTTATCACTGAGCCCTCCATGGAGGGAATTCAAATGGGAGAAGCAGGAACTCAGAAAGTGGAATCTTACTGATAAATATTTCACACCATCACAGACTGCAACATGTCTCTTCAGATCCCATTTGCCAGCATTGCTTACAGGTGATAGGTACGTCAATTGTTGTAATACTCCTGGCAATATGAGAAACATAGATTGGAATTGATGAGCTATGTACTATTTTCCAGCTGTAGTGCAGCTCACTGCTATTATTTGCTTGTAACAAACAGCTGTTCCGAGATGAAAGTATCTACAAACGCCTCAATGTTTCAAAAATTACAAGAGGTTAGTTTGTTAAACATTTGATCTATGTAAATAAACACAAGCTTCATGCAAGACAGATCAGAGTATGGACTGGTTATTTTGCTGTGGCGTTACTAACTAATATTTGCTACTGCAGCAAGAAATCTTTAAAAACAAGACATTCTCAGATGTGTTTTCCTAGCTAAGTATTTTGTATGAAAGTCAGTTTACTCAGAGGCTCTTAGTTAAAGAAATAAAACTTACTTTGAAAGAAATGAGGCATTTAACAGTATCGTGGCAATATGGCTTATTCAATTAATAACTAGTTGCTTATTTTTAATTGCTCATGTAACTCTTTTAACTTAGGCTAGGTCAGCCATGAAGAAAAATGGCTATCAGCCACTGGCAGCTCCATCACCTGCGCAGTATGGACACGGTTCTCACAGCCAATGCATGGGGTCTTAATTCACACACACAAAGAAAGCCCATCAACCACAGCTGGCACAACTGGATGCTAATGTCTGGCCTCCCTGTCACTCTTAGCAGAGAGGCTGAGGGCATGTTTCTGAACTACTCTCTTACCCCTAAAGGTGGTCTCTCCAGGTCAGGGTTGAGGCACATTGGTGGGGCAATGTGGGAAAGTTTGCCCTGCTGCTGCCCATGCTGTATCTGCTCTATAAATAAATAGAGGACTTTAGTCTCTAGGGCTGTCAGTTTGGCACCTTCCATGTGCACAAAAGACAGGCTTTGTGATTCTTTTTTGTTTGTTTTAGAAATAACCACCCAAGAAGTTATATGCAAAGTTTAGTATGGCAAATCAAAATAAGCCAAATTTACTGTATGAGAGCATCTAAATCCCACAACTTCCATTTGCTCTCTCTTTATTTTGTGTTTTCTATTTTAGTTGTGATAAGAATAAAAGTTATGGACCTCTTTCGGTGTTTCTTGATGACAACGGTTGCTGTTCCACCACAACTCCAATGCTGCCACCAAGCATGCAAGAAGAAGGCCTATTGCTAAAATGCAGAAAACGCCTGCAAAACTGTGAAGCTTGAGGGCCTTCCCATCTGTCTGTGCATTGGTATGGCTATTCAGGTCACAACGTCCCATTCGTGGCCACCATTTCTGTTTGAGAACATCCAAATCTCCGCTTTCTTGCAATTCTAAGATCCTGCAGAAATTTTAAAACACAAGTATTATCTTCAACAGCACTTTCTCTTTTTGCAATTTTTCTTTTCTGTACATTGCATACCTCTCAAATCAGCTGTCCCAGAATTCAAAACTCCATCCCACAACCCACCACCACCACAAAGTATTCTTATCTTATTCAAGATTCTCTGACCTTGGGTGAGAAAAATTTCAAGAGGGACCTGCCACTATTCTATAACGTCACATAGTTATTTGATGTGCAAAAAAAGCAGATAATGTCCTCTACCCATCCATCCTAAAATGGACATTTCTGTGAATAAAACTGTTTGATAGTAAAGGATGGGGTAACATTTTCTACTCAACTGTAGTGTGAGATTAAAAGCTTCTTGTGGGAAAGACACAGCTCTTCTGCTGTTTTTCATTGTACAGAAAACAATCTGCTCTCAGCAGCAGGTCACTTGGTAACTTTAGAAACAAGAATGACTGTCAAAACTTCCATTACAAAGCAAAAAACATTACAGAGGCCAATCATCACATTCCACTTAGTTATAGCTGGTCTGCCTACACTCAGTTGCAACAGCTGGTCCCACTACAAAATTCTCAACCCACTGGACTGCTGCACTTCCACAATAATTTCAAAATAATGTGAGACTAACATGTTACTATTTAGGAGACAGTCAATACAAATCTAAGTAGAAACGGACTCATTTGCTTCTGCTTTGAGCTACAGCAAATGCAGCTTATTCAAAAAGATTTTACTCCAATGCTGTTACTTTGTGCTTGAAACACTGTCTTAACAGTTGCTAATTAATCATTGTTTCGCCCCTTTTGAAGTGTCCCTTCTTGCCATGGATGATTCATTTTGGGTTGGGTTAGACTGCTGTCACTGTTTACTAATGTCTCCTTCTTCTGAGGCAGCTTTGTCCCTGGTTCAGGAGGATCCAGACCAGCTGCAGTTGCTGTTTTACCACTTCTTATGAAGAAGTCAGACAAAAGGTAAAGTGGTTTCAGCTCTGTCCAGGAGCTGTGCACTGCCTGTGAAGGGCACAAAGGTCTGTACAACTGCATGCCTTCGTTTCACTTACATGTTGGTATATAACAGCTCTGCAGAGAAAGACCTGGGTGTCATGGTGGATGACAAGTTGACCATGAGGCAGCAGTGTGCCCTCGTGGCCAAGAAGGCCAATGGGATCCTGGGATGCGTTAAGAAGAGCATCTCCAGCAGGTCGAGGGAGGTGATCCTGCCCCTCTACTCAGCCCTGGTGAGGCCGCATCTGGAGTATTGTGTCCAGTTCTGGGCTCCACAGTACAAGAGGGACGTGGAGCTGCTGGAGAGAGGCCCGTGCAGGGCTACAAGGATGATCAGGGGCCTGGAACATCTGCCCTATGAGGAGAGGCTGAGGGAGCTGGGCCTGTTCAGCCTGGAGAAGAGAAGGCTGAGAGGGGACCTGAGCAGTGTCTAGAAGTACCTCAAGGGAGGCAGTGAGGAGGATGGTGCTGGCCTCTTTTCACTGGTGGCCACCGACAGAGCTAGAGGTAATGGCCACAAACTGAAGTACCAAAAGTTCCGCATGAGCTTAAGGAAAAGTTTTTTTAACAGTGAGGGTGACAGAGCCCTGGAACAGGCTGCCCAGAGAGGTTGTGGAGTCTCCTTCTCTGGAGATCTTCAAACCCGCTTGGATGCAGTCCTGTGCCACGTGCTCTAGGTGACCCTGCGTGTGCAGGGGGGTTGGACTAGATGATCTCTAAAGGTCCCTTCCAACCTTAAGCATTCTATGATTCTATGATAAGAGATGCTGATAGCTCAGAGGGCTTGGTGGCTCAGAGCTACTATGTGGCCACAGAAATCACTGTCTACAACACCATGCGATACTGAATATTTATTTTTGCCTATAATGTTGTGAGAAAGCACTACACTGAAGACTTGGATCTGTCTCTCCATGCTCACTGCATGGAAGAACACACTGTTTCACAGCATGCAAAGCACAGCATGGGCCAAGGAGGCCTGATCTGTCCCCTCACCCATACAGAGCTCAGGGGGCACCAACCCTTCTCCTGACAGGGCACTGCTGCCTAGAGGTGTGAGATCACCCATCATTTCCAATCCCTTCCTTTCTTCTCTCTAAGCAATGCACACAGAACATAATGAGCAGTTTTCTTGAAGGCTGAATTTATAACCTCTCTGCTGTCACAGAAGGAAGAGAACAAAGCTCATTCAATAAAGAGTCACTGCCAAAGTTAATATGAACTACAAATAGGATTCTTGCTTGCTGCAGGGAAGAATCACATGGGAAAAAAAAAAAGTGTTGTTTTGATTTACCTCTGGGAGAAAAGATCCCTGTAGGGGCTTCCATGCTGGAGGGCTATCCCGTATCCTTTGCTGCTGATGCTGTTTCCAATGACCGTCACGGAGCACTCATCATCGGTCAGTGCAGCATATTCCACCACTGTCACATCCCACAGGAAAGCATAGTTTCCTTTCTTTGCCTGCAAATGCATCATGAACACAACAAAAACTAAACTATACTAATTCTTGAGGCAGGTCCAAAAACAAAGAAACAAGTAAGCCCTGAGCTTGCCATTATCCTGCAGATATTTCATCAGGTCAGAGTTATATAGAGAGCTGCAACATCTTAACACATTCCTCATGTTCTTCACTCCTTTCACAGCAGTACTTTATCGACTTCAAACCCCTCTAGCATAACTTCCACTTTTAACAGGGGGATAGTAGGGGATGCCAGAGTAAATCACAAGTTTAGGCAAGGCTTACACAACAGGTGATTAATTATAAATCGAAGTCAATACATTAACTGATGAGATTTGACGTACATTTCGTAGGAGATGTGGATTACCAGTTCCATACACTCATGTAAGGAATACAGGTACAGTGTGAGTGCAAAAGCATGCTTTTTAATCATCACAGTTAGAAATATGGAAAGATTGCAGCTTCCCTGAAAGAAATGTGTATATAAAAGCCATGATAGCTTGGAAAAAGAAAACCTCTCTTCTTTTTCACAGGTAAGAAAAGTCACCAGTGTATCCTATTAGCTCAATTTTGGGAAAAATAATGTTTTATTTTAGCTCACACCCATGAAAATGTCCTTCACTGTTAACCTTAAATTGGGATTCAAACTAATGTTTGCATGTGCATATTATGAATGCAAATCACCTTACTTAACATAAACTGTAAAAAAATATCTCTGGAAAGGGATTCAGGATTTTATTTGGTTGAAGCAATCATTGGTTTCCTAATATATGTAAGTAGTATTTTTTAAAGTCTCTAGAAAATCATAGAAAGGTTGAGATGGGAAGCGACCTCCAGAGATCACACAACCCAACTGCCTGATAAAGCAGGGACACTTAGAGCAGGACGCACAAGGTCGCATCCAGGCAGGTTTTCAATATCTCCAAAGACGAGGACTCCACACCCTCTCTGGGCAGTCTGTCCCAAGGAACTGCAATCCTAAAAAACGACCTTACTCACATGGAGAAGATATATGCTGTGTTTCAAGCCAAACCCATTATCCTTTGCAGTGCCAGTTTTAGTCCCACTCCTGATGGGACTCCAGGATTTCTCACTCTCTTAGAGCTAGAGTTAGGGCTGGGGTTAGGGTTAAGCCTGACATGACTAGGCCTAGTGCTGCCTAAACAACATATATGCTCCTAGCAACACTCGTGATACAGCACTACACTTGCTTTCCCATGGCCTTTCTAGCCCTACTTCCCATTGCACTCCACACTTTCTCATTCCCTGAACACAAACCCTAGCCCTAACCCTACCCTTAAGCGTCAAGTAACTAGGTCTAACTAGGTCTGCTTTGAACAGAATAGATATTCCTAGCATCAGTCTCGATACAGTGCTACGTTTCCTTTGGCCAGCCCCTTCTAGCCCCACTTCCCATGGCGCACTAGGATTTCTCATCCTATTAACCCTAACCCTAGCCCTAAGCCTCAGGTAACCACCTCTAAGCCTGCCTTGAACAGAACTGAGGGTCATAGTTCCAGTCTCGATACAGCACTACCTCTCCTTTGGCAGGCCCTTTCTAGCCCCACTCCCCACGGTGCTCCATGCTTTCTCACTCTCTTAACCCTAACCCTAGCCTTAATCCTAACTGCAGCTCTAAGCCTGATATCAACAATCTCTAGGCTTTCTCTCTCTCTTATCCCTGAACATACAGAGCACAACTGAACAGATGGGTGGAGTATGTTATGTAAATGAATGAGTAATCATAAATGCAGTCTTTCTTTATTTTTTTAAAAATCTTTTTAGTAATTTATGATCTTTCTTTAGGTGAAAACTTAGCGAAGCAGGAATCCAAATTACTACATATATTTATTTATGGAAACCGAATCACTAAGCTCCCTTAGGAAATGACCTCATCTCTGATGCACAGATGGTTTTCTCTTCCAGGTATTTTGTGTAAGCTCAGTTTTTAACTGACCTGTAAGGTTACAAAACTCCTTCTGTTATTTCAGTATATCAATTTCTTCTTGCTAGCGATTCAGCTGAGCAATTAAACTAATTTCACTTCAGCATGTTTTGATATAAACAACCACAGCTCTCTGAAGTCCTTGACAGTTGTTTAAACATGACAATAAATCAAATGTGAGTTTATCCTCCGAAGGATAGAATCCAGGAAACCAACCAACCAACCAAAGAGAACGAGCTAGGGATACAGGGAGGGAGGGACAAAGGAAGGGACAAAGGAAGGCAAGAAAAGCATATTATTGTTTGGATTTTCTACTACTTGTCAAAGGTTGTCTCCTGTTCCCCCTTTCCTTCTGCCTGATCAAGGCAACACAAGATCCCCAAGTTGTTTTGCTTCTGAATTAGACCGAATAAAACCAGTTATAGCCTTCATTTTTGCTAAGGCTTAAGTCATCCTGCTCCAACCACTCTGAAAATAATTGTTATTGTTGTTGTTGAGGTTATCCATCCAGTTCAGGTTTTTCACCACCACCTTCTCCTTTCTTATCCTTATGTTTGGTTTGGAGTGACAGTAATCAGACACCTGTTCTGTTGCTACACTAGTACAAAATGGCATTAAAATCTCAAGTATAGCGTAAGCTTTACAGGGGCTATTTGGACAGGAGCCACAGGACCACAGTGTTAAAATCATAAGGGATGTAACTGATACAACTTACTAAACAACTGGGTTCATAAAAAATGTCTCTTATCAAAATACCACTGTATGAAAACATACCGGAGCAAGACTTCTAAATCCATACTGTAATACCCTGTCCCTGCCTGTCTACCTGAACGGGTAGTATCAGTGCAAAGAATGAACAAATCACTATTTACTAGACATGACAGCCAGAAAAGGCTTCATAACTTATTAACATAAGGATACACACACACACAAATATGGCAAAGAAGTAATTCCTCAAGGCATCTAGGCCTATATTCAACTGGCAGCCTATATTCCTGGAAGCCTCAAACATGTTTTTCAAAGGTACTTTCTGAATGATATGTACCCACAACTGAGTCGCTAGCAGCAAACCTTTGCATCTTGCTTTCTCCTCTGCCTGTATTGGGCTTTAATAATCCTAATTTTATGCTTTCACATCTCTGATAGTGCTGATAGGCCTCCTACCTGGTTAGGGAAAACAGGCAAAGGGCATCAGTCCCAGTGGTGGTCATGGCAGGCAAGGATCATCAAAGGCCCTATTTCTGCACATCTGAGGTTGTGTTCTATGGTAAATAGTACATAGGGTTTTGCTACCTATGATAGAAAGTGCAAGTTCTGCTGCATTAAAAAACATGTACTTATGGGACTAAAGACAAATTATATAATATCATTTACTACTCTATACAAACTTTTCAAAACATGTGTTATTAAAAGTAAAAACGTGCCTGATGTATGTACAGAAAGAACAGTCCTGGAAGGCATTTGGCTTAAATCCACAGTATTAAAATGTCTTGCATTTTTCTACTTTCCATAGCTGCATTTTTCAGCTGTTTCAATATTGTACAGTAAAACATCCTCTCAAATTTACACTTTGCAAAGGAGGAATACTGGCAACACATCCTGCCCTCCCTCACTTTCTTCTAATAGTACTTGAGAAACACAACCTTCCTTAAATATTCAATTCCAATTAACTTGCAATATCTAGAGAAAAATCACATTATTGATTTCTACTCTTCAAGTCTTAGTTTTCTGCCTTTTATTTTACGTAGAAGATCTTCCTACACTGACTTCCAAGGTTAGACGGCAGGCCTTTTGACAAGCATGCAAGCTTCTCTTGCACGTTGCTATCCCAAGTTACATCCTGGGGCTGTAAGTGGCCAATAGATAGTCTACCCAGTCTCTATGTATCAATTTATCTTTTTATGACATGAATCATTCTGCTCTGTACCATCACATCTATGAAGTATAATTTTTCTGATAGTCTGATCATTTTAGCATTAACAGGAATCTGAGTTTTCAAGTCTTAATTATGTGTGCTTCTCAGCTTCCAGAAATCCTGGAGGTAAGACTGTTCTCCCTCTCTGATTGCCAAAGACAGAATCTCCAAAGATCCCCTTTTCCTCAGGGAAGATTTTTCTCTTCAAAGGTTCTTCCACTTGCATAATTTTCTTCTCTAAAAGTAGAGACTCCTTACTATTAGTGTGTTCACCACATGGAAAGCTTCCTTATGACCAAATGTTTGGTTGCTGTCTAAATTCAGTATGCTTCACATCCCTGTTAATATCCATTGTGACAGCTAGGCAGTATCATTTGTTCAATTTAAAGAAAAAGTGACAAATTGAAAAATTTATGTATAACAGATAAACACATATAACATATACATGTCTGAGATGTATTTACTTTTTATACATTTTCACTAGGCAAGCCGTAAAAGTCAAAAGAAATCATACTGACACAAATCTTCAAACAAAATTCAAGGTAAAATCTTTTATAAGATTTTAAACATTACTTTTCTTTTTTTATGTGAAAGACTGCATGCGTGCACATGTGCATATCCCCTAGCTCTCAGGAAACAGAAAGGCCTGGCACTGACCCATAGGACATATGGGGTATATGAATGGGATTCATATAAAGGCTCACTAGCCCTATATGATACCTTACACACAAGTGTCTACTCGTACAGAGATCCGGACCAGGCTCTTGCACTCACAGCTCAGTCAGTTAAGCCTGGATTATGGTTCTTCTAGGGCCCAAAATAGAATGAAAATGTTCTAATGGTCAGATATCATTACAAAAATAATGCAGAGAGAGATGGCGAGAGGGAGTGTGGCAAGTAAGAGCTGAAAACAGGCAGGACTGCTGCAATGAGGTATGAGGCTTTAAATGCAACACAGAATAATAGCCTAAGATTTATGCTTTAGGCTTTTAGTTGGCTTCCATTTTATGCTCCTTTACTGCGGCCTTGTTTCAGCTCTCAGCACGCAGGTACACTGGCAGAACAAAACAAAAACAATTCAGTTAAACTTTTGAAAACCCCTTCAATAAAATTCAGCCAAAGCAGCACTCCTTTATTCCAGCCAGGTGGAACTAATTTCCTGGCCAACACCAAAGACGCAGGATCTGTCTTTGCTTGAAGAGCTTTAAGAAAATAGATATAAGGGGAGAAGAGGAAAAAAGAAATAGACAAAAGCTACATTAAGACATACTTCTCAACAATCATCAGTCCCTCCCTCCTCTTTGGTGGTCCACCAAAGAGAATAATAAAGCTTTATAAAAGCAGTAAGCAATCTCTTAATGTCACTATTCAGCAGAGAGGGAGACAGAAGAGTATTTTTCAAATGATGGCAGAGTTCGTTTTTTTTTTTTTCCCTAAAGATGACATGGTGAAAAATACTGAAATAACTTGAAAAAAAAAAAAGCTGAATTTCAGATTAGTCTTGGATTCAGCTGATATTTATGAAGCAGCTACCACACTAAAAAATGGCACAAGAAAAATACAACATTTGTCATGAATATTCTGCCAAAACTGAATGTCACCGTAGCTGCTCCATCATATGACCGGTCCTACAGAAATATCGATAAGAGGGCTTATTGGTATTAATAAAACATACAGAAAACACAGCGGATAACATTAACTATCTGTATAGAGATGCTTTCAGAGGAGAGGAAATAAACAGCACTAATAAAGAAAAAAAGGCCATTAAATTCTGTTCGTATTTTTTTAAATTAAAATTTTAAGGATCCACTAAGGGATATAAGACTTTAAAAGAAGCATTTGCTTTTGCTCAGAATGGTGAACAGTCAAGAAACTAAGAAAATTATGAGGACTCATGGAAATACAGTGACGAGCCACAATAAAACGCAAAATAAAATTCAGCATGGGCAATAAATTATTGGAAAATATATTTTTAAATTTCCTATTCATTGAACTTCTAAAGCTCTCAAAATGAAAATCAGCAGTAGTGACTGTCCATGAAAACAGTCAGTTCAGTGTTTGTTAAAAGAGAGAAAACTGTAGAAGAAAGCAAAAGGGGAAAAAATAATCTTTTTTGGTGCCACTGCATAAATCAATGATACATTCACAGTTTTGACTCTGTAGCTGGACTCTTGTACTTGACCACCTCATCAAAATTATACACAAGAGCAGCAAAAAGGATTGCGAATAATTTTGGCAACAAATTAATTGGACAGAGAAACAAAGTATTTCCAAGAAAGAAAGCATGAGAGAAGTCTAGAAACACTTGGAAGTGTTAATTTCCTATGTATTTATGTGCGTATATCCATATATATAAGAAAGAGATCCTCTAATTTCATTTCTCCACAACAAAAACAGTCACAGTGAAAAGGTAAACTCGGGCTAGAGAGACTTACTATGTCGGAAAAGATGCCCCTTCCCTGGCCATCAGCACCACAAAAGCTTTCAGGATTTTCTTCCACTGTTACCTTTTTGTTTTAGCTAAGCCAAAGAAGTAGTGAAATCTCAAGGAAATGAAGAGAGGTAATTGAACTAGAGGTGAACGTCTGAAATGCCTTCCAATAACATAAGCAAGCAGTGTGCTCCTCTTTTGCATTGAAGTGGCACTGCTCTTCTTGTTGCAAGGGAACTATGATGCTGTTTGAAGAAAATGGGAAGGGAAAGGAAGGGAAAAGGGCTAGTACTGATGTTTTCCATTCTGTCAGGCAAGTCCTTAAGCAGAAAAATATGCTAGGAATATGTTTATGCTAGAGAGATTTAAATTTGCCATTTCAAAAACAAACAAACAAAACCAAAATCCCAACCTTTTAAAGGCCCCATTTATATCTTTTTCATACAGCAATATGTGTTTACAGACAGAAAGTTCCATTTCTTTGACTGACATCAGTTCTCCCTCAGAAAATCAGAATTACTAGCCATGATACTTGACAAGGACAACTTGTCTGTTTATTCAAAGAACTCGATGAGCTACGAAGAGCAACATTTATACTACAAACACAACAGTTGACTTGACAATGTTATTAAATACTAAGCTCAATTTATGTAAGTGTCTAATTGAATAGCAGCCTTGGTCAGCTTTGGGGACTGAAGTGAATTTGGTTATTGTTGATTTAATTGAACAAGTTGATCAAGTTAAATAGAAAAATCACCCTAGAATATTGAAATCAAACTTAATATAAAAAAGTTATTATCAGATATATAGGATGGAGCTGCCAGCTCCACACAATCTAATTGGTATTCTAACCAGCTTGCCAATCTACAGTTACACTTTAGGCTTAGGCGCATCTAACTATAATAAATAACAGTATGCAAGAGACTTAGAGAATATGAGTATTTATAATATGCCAGCACCAAAATTGTACATTAAAAAGTCGTGCATTTTCCTAAGGTAAATGTTTTTTATTACTGTTTTTCATGTCAGAGTGCATAGAAAAGCATTTATTTAATGGCTCTATTTCAATGTTTTCTAAATGCTAAGATTGTCTCTTGAAATAGAGGCCTCATTTTCATGAAGTGCTAAGCAGAAATGAAATCAAAACACTGCAGAATTTGCTAGAGCCAGGGCTCTATATGCAGAGGAAGAAAGAGTACCTGAGCCAAGTGACAGAGCTTTAGGAAAGTTTAGCTCTTTTTATAGCACACAAACTCTGGAGAAGATGTGAGAAAACAAATGAAGAAACAGAAAAACTGACAAAAAAAAAAAAAAAGGAGGGGTAATTTTTGCATACTTTCCTTCTGACCATTGAGGAAAAAGTTTCAAGGACTTGAAGAAAAGAAAAAAAGTCAGTGTGAAACATCTTCCTATTTCTCACTTCAAAAAAAGAGCATAAAGAACTTGTAATGCAGTCTTTTTTCTTATTTTATAAAAAACAACAAAAAATCAACTGATAAATAAAGGGAGCATTTTTCTCTAAAGGAGCCACACATTAAACTTCCACCAACTATTTCAGCATCGATAGACATAACGTACTCCTGAACACATGTGGTCTGATAGCATTTACTGACTGTTCTTGCTGAGCTACTAGATGGAAAGAAGAGAAGAGCAGCAGACTAGGAGTGTGAAATTGGAGATGCTTCTTTTTGTGTAATCTGAATCAGGGCTGTTTATCTCAGAACTGAGCACAACGATGTACAACTCCAAGCCATCTTATATCAGGCCCTGAATCCCATATTAGCACTGAGTTTCATAAGAAAAAATGTGTGGTCATATCTGAGAGAAAGAAAAGTTAAGTGAAAACATGCTGCCACATGAAAGAGTATGTGCATGTTTTAAGACTGGAATAAACAAAGAAAATCTTGCAAGAAATTTCTAAGAGCAGAGTATACTTTCAATGAATTTCTGGATTCCTACCCAATTTTCCAGTCCTGATTAATGCACTAACTCAGCACAATACACAGGAATGAGCAAAGGACAAGATTGAATATCTAGATAATGTAAGGAATGATATTCAAGATGTTGTAACTTGAGCTCCCAAGAAATCCAGAAACCTAATAACCAGATCCAAAAAGGATATACTGAAGATTTAGGTAGAGCTAAGCTCATTTCAAATCAGAATTCCGAAATATGCTCCTCAGCTGCTATCTATTTACTGAAACGGAAGTTTAGATATGCATATTCTTGTTTAAAATTACTGTGTAATTGCTTTTATGGATCCCATCACTCATTAACTTCAGGCAAACAACATTGATACAGGACAAAAATTAAATGAAAAATCCTGTAATCCAGTCTTACCTTCCTGATGCCTTCCGAAGGGTTCGATACACAATTATCTGCCCCATTATTCTTACTGATTGTCCTCCACAGTTCAGCAAATGTGTTATCCTGCTCCAAGGGGTTTGTCCCTTTCGCTTTGAAGTATTCATACACTGCTGAATCCCTGACTGTACCGTAGGATATATCCATTTGTTTGGACAGATCCTGAAATGTTCTGAAATTCAAGTGATATTGAGATGTTAGCGTTACAGGGTACATTACTGAGATTCCATTCATTAAACTATTTCTTTCTATGTCTATCTTTAGGCAGAAAGAAAGCACTTACTCTCACCAAGTCATATTTACATATCTCTTTCATTTAGATAAAAGAAACCCAGAGAATAATTTAATTGTATTAAAATGATATAAATTTAATTATATCTGAGAGTTTTTTTTACTCAGTGAATTTTTTTTTGCATAAATATCATTCATCTTAAACAGCATGATGCCAGCTTTGCACAGGAACCAAGTTGCACAAAAGAACTAAAACTAAGATTACAAGTGTAAACTCCTAGTCAGATCAGAATCACAAAAATACCAAGCAGAATTCAATAGAACTAGGTTGCAGTTACAGCAATACTCCATTTGATTCCAAATCAATATGAATGTTTTAAATAAATAAATGCTGTAGTTCCAATTTCCACTATGTTCCCTTCTGCCTCTCTCTCTTTTCACAGCCTCTGGTAAAACAGACATTTTTCATTCACACAGAGACATAACTTTCATTTACTCATCATACCACTCTAGAAGTGTAAATGGGCCTCAACATGAGTGCCTGTGAATGCGCCATTTATTTTCGAATTGTACAGAATGTAATTCACTCCTGTTTTACAGCCTTTTCTGCACAGAAAGGTGTAAATCACTGCTTGTGTCACTGAAAACTAGGCCAAGTTTCAAAACATTTAAGGTGGTATCACTGCCATCAAAGGAAGCATCCTATCCATTTTCCACCTTCGGGCATTCATTTCCATTCTTGAGTCCCCTTCCTTTGGCCAGCAGAATTAATTTTGCACAGCTACCGTTTTATCTATATATATATGCACACAAATGCATGTACAATTAGTAACACCATATGCTATAGCAGGAACTAAGTCGTACCTCATAAATAAAAACGAGTTACTTCATGCTTTGAAAATGTATAACCTTACACCGTAATTCTCTATAGATGCTCCCGACCAGCCAAAAAAGGCTGGCTGGGACCAGTGAGACTAAAGCAATCCTCTCCCCTCCATGAGAGACTTCTTTTTCCCAAAACAACCTTTCAGAAAAAGAAGCTTCCTCAAAACATTTGAAAAGCAGAACTTGCCCTGCTCATGCCACCTCCCAACAGCCTCCAACTCCTTCAAACCACACAAGTAGAACGTTTTGTCTTTCAGCTCTCCCACAAGATGAACAATTTCCTCAAAATCTTCCTAGGAAGCCTTCCTTTGGCCCATGACCTGAAGCTGTCTTCCACAGCCCAAGATTAATAATCAAAAACATTTTCTTGCTTCCCTCTTCTCTGTCGCACTGCGGGCTCCCACTGATGTAGCGTATGCACTTCACTTCAAGGCCCCCTATACCACCACTGGCAGCAACACAGTTATGAACACATACACAAGGCTACGTAACACATTTACAAGAGTCTTGCGTTTTCTCCATTGTGTCACCTCCAGGCCTTCGAGTCATCTCCTAACACCCCCTTTTACCCAGATGCAGCATGTGAGCCCACCAGCTCCAACGCCAGGGCTGTAGCTCAACAGAGACCCCCCCCCGGCTTTTACTCCACTAAAAGGCTTCATACTCTAAGGCTGCTTCTAACATTTTAAGTGGTTTAAGTTCGTAAACTGTGTTAAGAACTTTTTATCATTTTAAGCTGTTAAGTAGAGTTAGTAGAGCTGTTAAGTAGAGTAAAGTGAGTCTGTTTGCAGTTTTCCTCTATATTCATCACACACATGTGGATTTGGGCTAACTCTGGAAGTTGGATCAAAACCCACTTTGGGAAAACACAAAATGAGAACCCTGGAGATTGCTGGACATAAAAAAAAACTCATGAAAAATAAGAGAATTTTCTTCTTCTCTTTTTTTAAAAATCCCTGAAAAGTTTATTTTGTTCTCTTAAATGTTTCCTACACATTACATTGTTCAAGGCCATTTTTCCTTCGATCTCAACCTGAAAGTTTACATGTCACAATCAGTTCCTTAAACAAACACATACAAAAAACCTCATTATCATATCACATGAAATGGGTTACATTCTGGGGATCGATGATCTGACTTTCAAAAGACATATTTTTTTTCGGTTATATGTATAAACATCTAAGAAAAGAACTCAATTTGCACAGAGGATTTCTGTAGCAACCTTGTCACACAAAGTTAGGTGTAGTGATTTCAGTGTATATATGAGTGCAGGTACACAAGAAACATTCCAGGAGAAATATGTTTAGCTAATGCTCTGAAGTACCGTGTGGACCTGATTATAACTTTACAAATGTCTACAGTTTATAAAGACATTCTGTCCGCTTGAAAATTTCAGAATGAGAGTTCACACATTAAAAGAAATAAAAACCTGTCGTTTTAATAATGTTGTTATTTTCTGGATCACTTTTACTGGCTCTCTGGCTGCAAAAGGATCTTAAAAGTCGGCTTTTTTCCTGCCAGAAATAAGCCTTTTGTTTTAGATAAATTATATTTTATTGACAACCAATATTTTTTATTTAGCTAAATTACATTTTATCAACAATCAGTACTTTACAAAAGCATAGTACATCTTATATTTTGGAAAGCACATGCTCTTCAATACTCTAAACAATTCAGCGCACAGTGAGCAAACTCTAGGCTTAAATTAAGCACTTTGTTGGACCACAGCTTGAATGAATAATCCGTACTGGTGGTTGTGGGGGAATTTCTTCTAATATTTAAGTACAATCTTTGTCCGGGTGTTGCAAACAAGCTAACTACCATCGTTGGCACCGTTCTTGCTTTTTCCAATTCAAAATAGTAGTATCTTTTGTTATAAATACCAAAGTGACGGCCTGGGATGCAGATTATGAACTACGCTATTCGGGGGAAACGAGTCTGAAGACAGATTCACTCTCCTTCTTACCTCTTATGTTCTGGAGATGCCTGAGTTCTCCCTAATGACATCCCCCAACACTGTCATCAACTTGCTTGGCATGGAACTGCTTAGGTATTGTTTTCCTTCACAAAGAACAATATTACAGTCTGTATAGTTATTAGGCTGGACTGTATATAGGAGCTGAATGTTGCTTTAAAACAGAGTCATTAAATGTAAATCATAGCTACCTTGAGACTACATGAGATTATATTGACAATCTTCTCATCTTACAGATAAATAAAATTTGGCCAAAGCTGCCAAGAAGCGTCCCCCCAAGCTCTCCCAACTCTCTCGAGTGCTAGTATCAAATTGTAATTCTCAGCTGAATTCAATGGTAAGCCTCTGATACTTGTCTAGATCTCAAAAAATGATAGGGATCACTGCTGAATAAAAAAAAAAAAAAAAAAAGATAGGGTGCAATCCCAAAGGAAATCAGAGAAAGCCTTTCCAGACTTCTTGCAAATCAATCGTTTCTTCTCCAATTTCTATTACCATTTTTAAACGGGCAAAAACACCTCTTCTTTTTTTTCCATTTTCCACTTAACGAACTCCCAAAGTTTAATTTGAAATAGCTTCACACTTCATCCGCATTTTAGCTTGCAGAATGTTCCTGGGAGAGACAGTGTAGGATGTTGTGCATCCCAGGATTACGTGTATCATTTTTGCAATGCCCCATTTGATGTACTATAAGAACAGTCACTGATAAGGGAAATTCTCTATACTACCTCTCCACTGGAAGTTTCTCAGGAGAATGCCAGATGATCACAAGAGGCCACGGCCAGAGTCATAGCAAGTAATCTGGCACACAAACAATTCCTGTAGTGCAAATTCAGGAAAAAGATTAATAAAAGGTTAGAAATAACCTTATGCTATAAACCAAGTGCGGCACTAGCACAAGCTTTTCCAAAAGTTGTTATAACAGGGAATGGTCTAGAAAACAGTTATTGTCCACGATACTGTAGCTGCTGTATAAAAGATTTATCTATACAATATTTTTTCACTCAAACTGGAGTGATAACCTGCAGCTCCTTGGCTGGAGAAGTGACCGGAAGATCTGGGCATTCCATCCCTTCTTTACAGGGTGAAATAACATCATCATGAATGCAGTTCAAACCCTGTTATTATTTTTTTCTCAGATCTTCCATCATTAGAGAAAAAGATTCACTTCTGAACTTCAGTTACTGGAGATATCTTAAGATTTGTCATTCTCTGAAGTCAGCTGCTATAATCTTCTCAGACTTATTTAATTTTGCAAACAGCCATTGGGTGAACCCACCTTTCTCTAGCTACTCAAAGTCTTGTCTCACTTTCTTATGGCAAAGGTTGCATATATTTAATATCTAAAATTATTTGCAACACAAACCTGTAGCATAACAGGATGCCCCATTAACCTTACCACCTCAGTTATTGGATCTCACAACCCATTAAGGACTCTCTGCAAGTGTGATTAAAGATAAAACCAGTAAAGCAGAAAAAGCCGATGTTCCTCATTTACAGTTACAGGAGCTGAACTTCAATTTGTAGATAAATAAATCCACTGTGTGATTGTTGCAATAGGCAAGTACATGTAAACCAATTGATTTAAGTGAATGTATCTGTGGATGATCCCAACAAAAAATGGTGTAGTTTATAACTGTACTACCAGATAAAATATTTAACTCTTGTAGTTACACCTTTTAGATAAATGCAATAATTGACACCTAAATTGCAATGGAGCTGCAATGACTTATATGGAGTTAAACTAAAAACCAGACTCAACGTTTACTTTTTGAGAAACATACTGATGTGAACCATAAGTTGGGGAATAAACATTCAGGTTTATACATTCAGGTTAACATTCAGGCAATAACTGCACAAGCATTTCTACTTAAACCACTAGAAGTATTTGCCAAAACAAAGATACAAATTAAGTTATTTTTTGGAGATGCCTTCTTACTAGTGAGAGACTGTGTTGCTAGAACTATATAGGCTAAAAATGTTCTTCCAGTATAGGTTTATTTTTACTTTGGAACTGCTATAAGCAAAAACTTTCTGCTTGAAATATATTAACAAACCAACAAAAACAGTCAGTAGGTGCT